ATATATAATATATATATATATATATATATATATATATATATATATATATATATATATATATATATTATAATCGTAAGCTCGGGAGACAATTCGATCATGGAAAGTTCATGCTTGTTAGGTACAATCATGTAATAATAAATGTAACTTCTAGGTGCAGACGCGTGTGAGATGCAGATGCAGCTGTGGTTCATATGCACATATACATACGGATACGTATATCGTGCGTGATACAAATATACGTGTGATTGTGTATGTAGATGCACAAATGCGCGAGCTCTCTAAGTACCACATAAAGTGTTAATTAGACGATTATGTCGCCGATGTTGCGAGAATGAGTGAATGTGTTGAAAACGAGAATGAGAGAGAAGAAAGAATGAATTCAAGAGTAAAATTGAAATATGAAATTAAATAAGAAGAACGAGAGAAATAGAGTATGTGTTATGAGTGGAAGAGAAAGAGAATGAAGACCACAGAGAAAACATGCAGGTATATATAATCAGTGTTTATGAACAATCATTGTTCTTTGTTTGAAAGGAGACAAAGCTGTGGGTATGATCTTTGCTAATTCATATTATCTATGATATTCAATAAAAATTATTTAAATATTGGTAGATGCACTTTATCTTCGAGCAACGTTAAATTATTATTTTTTACGTCCAATCGATTGGGTGATTTTTTGTGTTTAGATAAGACGCGCATAGATGTTTCTAAACGTATTTTTGTCAACTTTTGGCATCGTTAATCGTTACAAACGTAATATTTCGTATTGTTCGCTCATTGTACAATATTTCGAACATATCGTGTTCATAGTAGCCAAGAATCGTTGATCCTTGTTTTCGTACAACGATTATTCTTCAGATAGTTTCTTCTTTTTTGTCACAAAAATATAGGTGAAATAAAACATTGGTTAACGAAAAAATTTGCGCTTCCGTCATTTTACATGATAGCAGATCGGTCAGAAGTTGAATTTTTTTACTGAAATCTAACCTAAAAATACAAGATTGAGGACGTGCAATGGCGAGTGTGCCTTTTGCCATAATATCGCAAAAAAATTATTCCTTTCTCATTAAAACTGTTGAAATTGTTATATAAGATTGATATGAATTTACTTAAATAGAAATTAAGTCTAAAAGGTCACTCTTTTTTTCAGCAATATCAATGAGATTTGGTTCCCTTGTCATTGTCAACGTCCTTATTGTATGTAGTTGAATGATGCAGTAGTTTCATAGGTAACGGTTGTTTCCACCGTTAGATTTTGTTTAAATCATTGTTATTTTGTCTTTTATCTATTTCCATTCCGTAGCGAAGACTTGAAGCTTTGTATATGGTATATTTTAATTTATAAATTATAAATCCATTTTCAAAATTTATAGCGTATTTTAATTATTGTATCCATGTCAATCTTATTTACAATTGAAAAGCTCAGTACTGCAATTAAAGAATTTTTTGGGAAAAGAATATCTATATCTATCTATGAGACTTTTAATATATGGGATAAATATAATAAATTTTAAATTAATATTTACTATATAATCTTTTTTATATTATTATTATTTATAGAATATTTAAAAAGCTAGAAGGAGTATTATTAAGAAAATTAAAAAGTTAGAAAAAAAACTTTCAATATATTGATATATATATATATTATATATATATTATATATTATAGAATTGATTATTTTTACTTCTTTTTAAGAAAGTTTCAATTAATGATATAAAAAATGTTAATAAAAATTAATAAGAGCATATACTCTTATTAAATTGAGCTTCTCAATTTCGACCAAATGATATTGTATATATACATCTCAATTTATACTATTCTTTCTCCTTTTCTTGAATATTTTCCTTGTATTTTATATTCTGTTCCATTTTAATTCCTCAAGCATTTGTCGAATATACAGATATAGTAAAACATGAAAAATCGCCGACATACATATATCAGTTTCAGTGATTGTGAATATGTTTTTCGTAAATTTTTTTCTCGATTTGATATGTCACATGCGATAACATCGTGAAAACAAGTAACTCTCTAAAAGACCAATTTCAATTTACATAACTTGAAATCGATTGAAAAAAATACAGATAGTTGCTAATGACAGAACTAATTATGAAGATATAATGATGATATAATAATGACGATCGCTAAAAAGGGCAAAAAAAATTAATAATATCTAATGTATCATGGAAAGAAATTTACTTAAAATCGATAATTCATTGATTTACATAGTAATGAAGTAAAATTGTACTTAATTATTACTTAATATTTATTTATTTGAACATTTAACATGATGACTTATTTACATTCTCATAAATATAGCAAAAATCGATAATTTTTTCTTATAAATTTAATATGATAAGCAATTTTTATGGTTGGATTTAGATTTATCACATATAAGAAACCATTTTAGTTTTAACAAATACTGTTATATTTTTCTATATAAACGAATCAAATCTGTAAAAAAAAATGTTAACTGTAATGATTTTTCTTTATATTATTAAATAACAGATATTTTATATGGATATGTATGTAAAGTTTAAATTGCATTAGTTTTAGAAAATTAATCTAAAAAGAAACTAAAAATAGAATGTTATTTTAGTATTACATTTATATCAATAATCTGTTGATTTAAAATATTTATTATAAATATTTATTACATATGTTATATAAGCAAAGATTTTCAATATCTATTATTATTGTTATAATGAATTTTTATATTATACAATAGATATTTATAAATATGGTATTTAGCTTTCTTCAAATTGGAAATAATTTCAATTTCATTTTCAAATATTCCTCATTTTTTTAAATTAATTATTGGTTTTTTGATCAAATCATTTTTGATATTAGATTTCATCGAAATGGCTGGATTAAATGATAAACGAAAACATCGAAAAATATTAATTCGTTCATTGAATAAATCGGATAGAGAATAAATATACAAGGAAAAAAAAATGTAAAGAATAGTTTGATTGTAAAAATCCATTATTTCCTGGAAGAATTTAATCTCGGCTTTAATCGGCGATAACTATTTGTTGCTATAGAACAACAAAATTCTGTTTCAAAAGAATAATTGAAATTTCATCATTCACAAATCATAGATAGAATTATATAAAAATTGAAAAGGTCAAGTCAGCAAATAATTAAAAAATCCATACAGATCAAAGATAAATAAATTAAAATTGAATATATCAAAGAAATATGTCAAATATGTCAAAAATATAACGAGAAGATTTTTAGAAGATTTTTAGAAAACAAATGTGAAAATCTAGTATATATATAGGAATTTTATGAATAAATTTGGTTATGCAAAGCAAATTTACAATGTATAACCATACGAACACAGAAATAGCTGCACAGATCCATAATGTCAACGATCTGTGCAAACCAGATGGACCGCGCGAGTTGAAGAGGTGGTCGTCAAAGGGTTAAGTAGTCTCGCATCAGACAAGTAGGTCAGCGAAGTAGATCTGTCTGCTGTAGATTATAGATACAACTTGTATGTCGTCGAGTGACTTGAATCTCGAGCTTCATTTAGAAATCTTTATGTAGCAAGCCGATTCTTTTTTCAACAATAATACTAGTTAATCCTTTTCTTTTTCAATTTTTTTTATCTATACCAGATAAGTTAAAATAGAAAAGTTATTTTTTAAAAAAAATGATAAGAATAAAGAAATAAATAAAATCAAAATTAACAATTTGATCATTACAAGAAATAATTGATCAAAATTAATAACTTAATAATTAGGAAAAAAAGAAAGATAGAAAAATGAATAAATTGTTTTTTTAAATTTGTAATTTTGGAGAAGGGTTTATTATTAATAATTGTAATGAAATGATATAGCTTATAGAGAAAAATTTCTATAGAAAAAAAATATTTTAAAATTAAAATAAATATGTTTGAATTTGTGGAAATATATTGAAATTTTATGCTCTATATATATAACAGGAAAAAAACAGTTGAGGAAAAATGCAATGAAGATTTTCAAATAATTCGATTTGCTACACAACGAAGCATAAGGTTTCTCGAATTGAATTGTCGAGTAGAGTTACGCTCTAATTCTCAATTTTAATTCGAGCTTAGCTGGTGTATGTTTAATGATAAGATTTATCACATAGCGTATATTGTACAATATATATTGCACAAGTGAATTTCTTTTCAACAACAATTCAAATAATTCACTTTTATTTTAAGATCAAAATGATTTAGATCGAACAATCTACATGATAACGTATCTATATTATTTTAATTAAAAATAACAGATAAATAAAAAGCGTAAAATATGGAGTCAGAGATTTTATATTTAATAATAATTAAGATAAGAGTCTTTATTGTGTGAGTAAGTACCTCTTATCGGGAGTTTTCTTATAAATTTTCAAAATATTCTAATCGTTAATCATAAAAGAATAATTTACAGATAATTTAAGGCAAACATTTTAAAAATAAGTATAACGTTTGATAGTCGTTATTTGATCTCTCTCATTAAGCCAGTTAAGAAATTTTGATTTCAAACACAGATACATTATGTGAGAAACATAAATAAAATGTGCATACATTAACGTGACCGACATACAATTAACGTCATAGCTAAAGGGAGATGCTTAAAAAAACTTTTCGATCACGTAAATATGCCTAAAAAAGAATCATGTTGATATTTGGCTATTATGTTTTAAAAGTTCGTCGAGGGGGAGAAATGAGAAAAAGGCAAGTTTGAGGAAAAAAATGAGAAAGAATGAGAATGAATAGATGAAAATAGAAGTGGAATATTTTTCAGAGAGGAAAATTATTATGAATTATCGAAACAATTCAAAATATATATTGCAAGCGTGATGATAATTGTACTTAGAACTTTGTTGCGTTCCAATAGATAAAATCAAAGACAAACGAGTCGACATTTCATTTGAATTTTGCTGATTAGTCATGGTTTTTTTTTTTTTGATTCTAAATTTATGAATATTCATTAATGGATACGATTTTTCGCGTTTCGAATCGTTTCTTTTGACCATTCAATTTTTAATAAATTTCTTCTTTTAAAACTGCTTTAATTATATTTCAGTTAGCAAAAATACTTTCATCTCATTTTTTCTAAAAAATTGTGACAATTTTAATTAGTAAGTAGATCTAAATGATGAAATGAAAATTAAAAATTAAAAAAGAAATATCGAGAACAGAATTATTTTAGAAGAAACGTACTATATATTCAGTTGAAAATTTTTCACAATTGTTTTCCTAGCTTCCAAGTCGAGAATATATACATATAAAATATATACATATAAAAAAATGATTTCTGTTGAATGAAATTTTGTATAATAGATATCATTTCATCCTTTGTTTTAATTTTCAGTCATCATTATTATCCCCGTAGAATTTTCTTTTCACGTTGATTCATGAATTAAGGATAGGATGTATAACAAATAAAATCAAACTCATGATAAATTTAAGAACAATGAATGTATATTTCTTCACAAGCCATAATATCATCTAGCGCGTAAAATCGTTTTCATTCGTATCGATGATAAACGGCACGGTGGTCGGTATTGAATTCAGATTAACCCCCCGAGTCTCGTACAGCATCGGTATCTTAATTTAATAAAAGTAAGCCGTACAAATCGTACCGTAAATCGAATCGATGTCCCGTATTACGTGGACGCGGATACAACGCGTTTTTAACATTCGTACAAATTATAATATATTCATTTTATTTTATTATCGCGCACATTTAACATTATTAATACCTGTGTTTTTACTCAGGGTAAGAACTTATTATTCTAAGTCGTGATCGATATACAGTTGGGCCACGTTGTGAAACAATTCGTGTTTTCGTATCAACGTTGTTGCGAAAAAATATAATAAAGGATTAATTAAAAAAAAAAAAAAAAAATTAAAAAAAACCAATCGAAGCGAATTTTAACGGAACGGAAATGAAGTTTTTCAGTCCTCGGTTGTGATTACTCAATTGTGGCCCTCCCTGTCGCTGGGAGGTCTGATGATCTTAATTTGCTTACAAATATCGAAAAATACGTCTGCCGTAGTATAACAAAGTAACAAACACAATACACCTAATTAATTACATTTAATTAGTAATTATGGGATGTGCGATGGTCTCGTTTTAACCCTTCGCTCCTCCTTTGGCGGGTCTCTGAAATAAATAGATATATACACGATTGACGTTATTATATACCTGAAAATTTAAATTTTATCATTGAAAAAATAAAACTTATTTATTTAATTTAATATTTATTACAAGAATTACAATTTATTATTATTATTATTTTTTTTATTATTTAAATTAACATTTAACCTCAGTGTCAATATCTAGATATTCGTATACTTTTAACTACATACTTTAAGATTAAACTTGAAATAATTTAC